CTTCACTTCTCTGTTTGATTTGAAGGCCAAGGAAGTAGTTGAGTTCCCCCATCATGCTCATTTCAAATTTTCCTTGCATGAGGGTTGAAAACTTGGTGCATAGATCTTTCTTCGTTGAGCCAAATATGATATCGTCCACATAGATCTGAACTAATAGGAAATCTTCTCCATCTTGTAGCTTGAATAATGTCTTGTCAATTACTCCTTTGGTGAATCCATTGTCTATAAGAAATTGAGACAATGTATCATACCAAGCTCTTGGTGCTTGTTTGAGTCCATATAGCGCCTTCTTGAGTCTATACACCTGATCTCCCTTAGTGTGTAACTCAAATCCTGGAGGCTGTTCTGCATACACTTCTTCCTCTAGGTTTCCGTTGAGAAATGCGCTTTTGACATCCATTTAGTGTGATTTTTTGGAAGATTTGATATGATCTTATTGGTTTTGAATTTGATTTGATCCGATTAGATCTGTTTTTGTCCGATTTGATGTAATTACGTACGATCTGATGCATTTAAAGATTAGATCAGGGAAATATTGGACACAACGTATACAAGTAAATAGATATTTTTGAATATTAGGTAAATATGACACGACCTATACAATTAAATTGTTTTTTTAATATTTGATCTGATCTTACTAGATTTGAATTTGATTTGATTCGATATTTTTGATGATTAGATATGATCTTATTGGATTTGGCTTTGATTTATTCCGGTTAGATCTATTTTTGTCCGATTTGATCTAATTAGTCTGATTAGTTATATTTAAAACTCTTTTAATTTGATCTAGTCTAATCTGATATCATCTAAACAACATATAAACATGTTAAACTGAGATGCAGTTATCTGCTTTGGTATAATCTTAGCTGTATGTGTTTTTTGAAATACAATAAGTATAAACATGTTAAACTGAGATGAAGAAGATAAAAATGAATTTTAAAAAATTATAATTGAGACGTGAATATATTAAAATGTACTCCCTCCGTCCCAAATTATAATGCATGTTCACAATTCATAGGGTCAAACTTCATTTACTTTCTTTCTCTATTTTCGTTAGCAATTTGATAAAATAAAATATTGTTGTCACTACTAGTTTTATAGATCTTTTGATGTAGTATTTTGATATGTAATTTTTATTTTTTAACTCTATACCATTTGTCATATAAAATGATTTGAAAATAACTTCAGTCAAACATCGTAAACCGAAACAGGCGTTATAAAATGGGACGGAGGGAGTATTATTTTTACAAAAAATTAATTAATGTTAAATCGTTTGAGTAATTTGTTTGAAATAAAATCTAATAATTTAACCAAAATTTGAGAGAATACATAATTTTTTGTTGAAATGAAATGAAAGGTTAATATGCCTTGAATCTGTATTGTGTTGCCCTTAAGCAGATTATTTCAAAATAATATTTTATTTAAGTAATATACAATATATATTTTATTTAATTTTAGATCAAAGATTTAAAATGATTTATTGCAAAAAGTAAAACTAAACAAATACTCAAAGTCTGAAAACTAAAACATTTTGCATTCCCTTCTCCAAAGCAGCGGTGCATTTTGACAACTATCTCCTCAAAATTTAGAATTCCTCTTCACTTTTGTTTTCAAAATCACCTCAAATTTCATAATCCCTCCTTGGATTTTCAGAATCCCTCCTTTTTATTGTTTTCTATTTTGCTATCTAACAATTCCAGGTCATCCTTCACACTCTGCGTGCACCCAACAAGGTGGGGTTTCTCTCTCTAGGAAACCCGAATGAACAGTGCCGCGAGGCTATTCTTTGCCATTTCTCCTTCATTTTGAGCTCTTTTCTTCTGATTTTTGGAACTCTGGCTTCTCCTACAGCCGGTGATTCCATATTAGAGGTTGAATCGCTGATTTTGAGGCTGAATTATGAATAATCGAAGGTCAACGCTTGGGATGGTACTGTTCACTCGCGAACTTTGCAGCTTGATTCACGTCGTTCCAAGAACTTTTGATGGCCAATTTTCTCAGATTATGGGTGATTTGTGATCCTCTTTCAAGGTATGAGAGTGGATTTCATTCCCGTTTGATTAGGCCACTAGGCATAATTAGGCCTGTGTTTTTGTTGTTGTTTCCTTCTAGTTGGGTTGTGTATTAGGGGTGGTGTGGATTCTTCTTGCTGTGATGAGGGGGTGGAAATTTTCTAGCCAATGCCATAACATTTGGTATAGGTTTGCCATTTTACCCTAGCCCAGCCCCGATTTCCGATGGAGTAGCAATGATGCACAATACCGTGCATGGCTAAGGAGAGCGACGGTTTGCAACGACCCGAAGATGATTTAACAGCATGTCCAACCCTAAAGTCCGAAAAAACTAGCATCCATGGTTGTTTGTTGGTATAATCTTCAATTTTGGTTTGTTCTTTATATGATTCTTCCTTGATTAGGTTTGATTTTGTGTTCATCTTCTATTTTAGTACAATTTCTTATGTTTAAGTGCTTCAAGAGATCTGGAATTGGTTTTGGTTGTGTTGAAAGGTTGGTTTAATTTTATTTTGAATCTAATATGTGTTATGCGTGTTGACTTTGGGCTTTCAATTGTCACTTTAATCACAGGATTTGTTTGATTATTAAGGTTCATAAGTGGCGAAGCAGCGGAAAGATACCCATCATCCAACTATAAATTGTGTTGCCAAGGGCGTAGCAAAGCAAGGTGAGAAAGACACAACATCTATGAATAAGAGAAGCAGCGAAAAAAGGGTAAACCCTGATTTTTAATCATATTTTTTGTTATTTTCAATTACACAGTATACTCGTTGAGGGTGCTGTACTGATCTGGTGCATAAAATGGTTGTTTCTATTTCATTGAGATGTTAATTCGAACTACTAATTGGATTTTGTGTAGTCTATTATTGTTGATGCTTTTTAGACTCTGTTACTCTAAGATCTATTAGGCTCTTGGCGATTGATTTTTTTATATCTAAGCGAAGTAGACTGAAGATGTTCAAGACAAGGTTGATGAACATTTAATTTTCTTAAATGAGTAAATATATTAATCTCATTTTTTGGTACCATCTCACAGTTTTCATTTCTTTTGCTTCTTTAGGCTCCTGTTAAGGTTCTTGCCATACTTATTGATAAAGATAAAGCGCGAGAAGCGGGGCTTAGGGAGAACTTACGAGTCCGAGTATCTGGGATTGAGGAAGATGATATCTTATCAGGCTTTGTTTTATGCAGTGTTGGTAAATACCATTTAATTATTTTCTTTCCTTAGTCTACTTTTTCAATTTTCAAAGCTTTATGTGTGGACAAGGTTTGATCAATGTGTCCATTGTTAAGCTTATTTGGAAGGGGTTCATCAAGTTATCATTATGTTCTTTTATACCTATATAATCCTGTCTCGGTTTTTACTGAAATGGATCTGTGTCTTGGTGCAGTAAGGCCAGTCCCTGCTGCTACAGGGTTTGTTACGCACTTGTATATGAACTACTTTGGAGGTATTTAGCTAGCAAATAACTCCAAAAAGTTTTGAGTATTTTTGTTATGAACTCTTTCTTGTTATCAACAAACATCATTTTAATTATTCAATGGTATGCAGATTGAGGACTAAAGTGAATGCTTTACAAGAAAATATTGCTAGAGCAACAGATGTATTCAGAAATGTTATAGAGTGTGATTTTAATCATGTGAATATTAAATTATTGTATGTCATTTAGACTTGGATTGTATGTATTTAGATATTATTCAATATATTCTACATTTTAGAATTTATTTTTGTTTCATGATCAATATTTTGGAATTGAAATAAATTTTATTTATTAAATATAAATGTATATTGAAATATAGTAGTCTTTCAAACAGCTTTACAATGTATTAAAACAATTTTCTAAATCTTTAAAGGACAACTACACATACCTGTACTGTTAATAAACGTTAGACAATAGAAATAAACAGTTGTGTGAAATACAACAAAAATAGTTGTTTACATTTTACAAATACAACACAGAATAGTAATTGTCTTATGCAAACATACTTAGTTGTCTTTGGAGCAGTAGTCTGATTTACAATCTGACTACTGTGTAAAAAGATAGTTTGAATATTTCAAGGACAACTACAAAAAAACGTAGTGTTATTGAGCACTATACAAGTGAAAGAAACGGTTGTTTAAAATACAACAAAATTAGTAGTGTACATTTTAGAAATATAACACAAGATAACAGTTGTCTGATGCTATTTTTGTTTAGTAGTCTTCCAAGCAACAGTCTGATATATCTTTAAACCACTTTTGAAACTAGATGTCTATATTGTTGAATGACAACACAACGCAATAGGAGTCTGAAGTCGAAAACAACAGTAATATTTATTATAGATAGACAACGAAACATCACAGTTGTCTTTAACTCTAGAAAATAGATGTCTTACTCATACGAGGACAACTTCAAAAAAATGTACTCTGAAACATCACAAAATAGGTGTTTTCAACCGTATTACACAATTGTTTTTAAATAGTCTGTAAATATATCAGACAGCTGCTCGAAAGACTACTAAAACTAGCACAGTTAGACTACTAAAAAGAACACTTGTCAGCATCTGTTTTTGACGTAGTGAGAACTTGTTGTAAGAGCTGCATCATCATCGCATGATCGACCTGTGGGACCCTAGCAGGCCCACCATTCGGCGTCTCTTTGTGTGGAATGTTCTGGTTCATGTTCATATTTTGACTATCATTCTGTTGCACACTCTCATCCTCAGAGTGATGATCGTCTTCGTAATTAACGATAGAGTCCATTCTACAATTTTACAGTTTAACTAATTAAGCAACAATCAACAAATAAACACAATTTCTCTAAGGAATAGAGTGTGAAGTAAATACATTTCGATTTTGTTATTAAACATTATATTTATATATTTTTTTAAAAAAGGGATAATCTCAATTATTGAACAAAATAATTTTTTACTTCTACATTTTGATAATTCAATCATTATGAATTTATGACTTTCTCACACCAATTCTTTTAACTTTTTAATGTCCAAATAGTATAACCCTTTTTTTTTGCAACAAAGTTTTTTTTCACAAATTTTATTCTCACCCACTTCTCTCTTTTAGTTATTTTTTTTATTCAGAAAACATCTTACTTTTTTTTCACATTGCTGTTTATTATTATTCTCGTCTGACACCAAAATAAAACACCCTCATTCATCCAGGTCTGCAGCCCCTTCTGAATTTGGTTTTTATTTCAGTAATCAATGAAACGAATGATTATTGAAGAAAATATTTTATTCTCCATATGTATAGAAATTTTTAATTTTCACAACCAGCCTTTTTTTTAAACTCTTTCACCTTCTCGTGCTTATGTTCTTCTTGTTTCGCACAACGATTCCCTTTTTACGTAAATCACATGTTAATTAACAAACAAATCAACTAATAATCAAGACAAAAAATTTCATATATGTACATAATAAGAATTCAGAGTTACCTCCTTGAGCAGTGACGTCATGAAGTTGTGGATGCCTATTTCTTTTTCCTTTTTTTTGAAAGTAAACATTTTTTTTAAAAATTAAATTTACTTTTTTTTCGAGAATCTCTTTTCAAACCACATGCTCCGATACCAAAATGTAACACCCCAACCCGCGAAACCCGAAACAATGAGTTAGCGAATCGGGTTGTCACTAATTTGGTAATCACATGCACAATATTTTAAAAACATTTAATAATAAAATATCAATTAACATTTATTTAGAAATAATTCATAATCAATCGGAGTAAATAATTCAAACGTTGCGGAAGCCTTTAAAAAAACAACATTCAACATTCTGGTAATTGAAATAAATAAATCCAACAAACTTATTTAATTAAAATAAAACAGCTTCGGTCATCCATCAGCGTCACGCTTCACTGTCCTCCAGGCTGCTCCTCATCAAATCCTTGATCCCTACCTGTAAAAATAGGGAGAGTGGAAGTATCTAACGCTAAAACTAACTCATAGACTAGTACTCATTAATATATAGTCAAACAATATCAGAAGTATCAGCAAATATCGTTATCCAACTGTACCACTAATTACCCTTTTAATTCAGTTTAGTTTTTATGCATACTTACTCCATCTGCCTGCTAATATAATCCAATTCATACTTACGGGAGTAATGGAATCCAGGCTCTCGCCCAAACCCACACTCATAACTCCAAAGCTCTCGCAATGGAGGGGGTTGAGGCCCCCACTGGCTCTCGCCAAGGGTCAATGACCACCGTGCGCACGTTTTTAACCCTCGAGACCACCAGATGAACGACGTCACCCGCATGACCTTAATTTAAACTCAACCTTTTATTGAAATTTTCAATGTCTACTTAAACTCAAATCTACCTATTATTATAAAGGGACTAATGTAGTTATCATCAATTATTTCTTAATATATTTAAATAAATTTGGGTTACCTCTTAAAGTCAAATTGTATGGAAGGCTGATTTGCAAGTAGTTTGGAAATTTAGGGCTAATCTATAAATTCCAAAAACTATATCCATAAACTCCCCAAGCAACCCGTCAGTCTGCCTTCTTCTCCGATGCACTGATCTGGCGAAGCAGCGGCGAAAGCCCAGCGACGAACGTTACAGCGGCCACCTTCCTCCGTAGTCATCCGACCCGCGACGATTTCCGGCGAGACACATCCTCTGCGTGAATCCCAACAGCGGCTAAACAAACAGAAGTCAAGAGGTGGGCAAAGTGCAGTGCCAGCGACGACCCACCGGCGGCCTCCCTCACGGTGGAAGACCCGACGACGTCTCAACTACTCGGCAGCGACAGTGGCGTTTGAACCTAGAGCAGAAGAACGAAGTAGTGTTCGGATAGAGGCAAGGAAGAAACAGAAAAAAACCCAGTGTGCAATTCTAAACCCGATTCCAATTCCAATTCAATTCAACATAATCATTCACCCAACTTCAACATTCATATTTACAAATTCAACTTCAATTGAATGAATACATATTAACGAATCCTAATCTATGAATTAATTTTAACGGGAGATAAATCACTCACATCGATTGACGAATTAAACCCTTGTAGAACTCCGGTAAAGATTTCCAGGCAAACTCCTGGTCTGCTCGGTTCCGTTACGCGGCAGAAGAAGGAGAAACGGAAGATGATTCTAACGAAGGGACTACTTCTATTTATAATGGGTATAAGCTCCAATTCGATTAGGATTAGGAAAAGTACGTTTTTCTTTATTATTATTGTTTATAATTTTATATTATAAAATTATTTATATTTATATATTGAACTGAAATGTCTATTTTACTCATCACGGTTTACACAAAAGTTCAAACTTAACAGACTATATACCGTTGGTCACCATTTTACGAGATCTACCCGAAAACCTAACTTTTAATTAAAATGGTTAACTTTACAAATCATTCATATTTTGGTGTAAATAAACAGTATATTTATTCATTATTAAAATAACGGCTAAATACTAAGCCGGTTTTCACGGCATCACAGGCTTTTTTCCTGCAGTAGTTTGATACAAGCAATAAAATTCAATCTTTCCATGATTGATCAAGTGGGATGTTTCAAGTGTGTAATTATCACAGCAATTTTGAGTATTTCAAGGATATGAGTAATAACATACAAAGGTAGCATTTTGCGAATTATCGTCACTAATCGTATAGTAGGTTTTCATCCTTTAATGTTTAACTCTTTGGAAGTTACTGAAGAGGTCATTGTATTAGGGCATTAGCCATTTTGACTTTTTGTCTCAAAAATAAAATGTATTTCAGGACAGCGAATCTAACTATTCATGAGTCTCGATATGTCATATCGTAAGCAGACTGTAGTACTGGCGAGCACATCCTTGTCTGTAGATAATTCGAATCCATTTTTCTGTACAAATTTTATCTAGTGATAGTTACCTTTATCACGATTGTGGAAAGAGTTCTCACATCATCGAAGGAACTTCTCCAACTCTTCCTTGCACCATAAAATCGATTAGTCTACTTGGTAGTCATGCTCTTGGCAGCAATCCAAAGTTCATGGCTACAGCGGTAGATCTGGGAATGGAATTGATAAGGCGTAAAATTAGACTAACTTATAGAGGAGACAATGTTGGTCTTCAAGGAGTTGTTGCTTCAACAGTCTATACCAATGGTGGTATAGTTAGAGGATTAATACCAGGGTACATAGCAACACGACGGGTCTACGGACCTACGTACGATGTAGAGTACATAGTTTCCTACAACAACTATACGTATTTCGAAATGAATCATGTTGTGGAGGCTTTCATTGTTCTTCCTGGAGGTGTTGACACTATGGAAGGTTTGTTCACATTAATCTCGTGGGCTTCTGAGGGTTACACAGTAAACCCATTGATCTCCTAAACATTGACGGTTATTTCAATAACCTAATCAAATTTCTAGATGATGCGGTGAGGCAGAACTTCATGGCTTTCAATCAGAGGAAACTTTTCATTTCTTCTTTCTTTATTGATGAGATTTTAGACAAACTAGAGTTTGCTAATGTTTTTTCGGGAATTGAGGATAGTTATGACGATTTTGCAAATCCTAGAAGATTTGACTTAGAGTTGCATGTGTAACATTTCTTTTGTAATCCAAGTTGTATTTCTGTGGGAATAATACTGTCCATGAACATTATAAGTTAGCCATATATATTGTTCTAAGCTGCATGGCATGTGCAAGTTAGAAGAATATTTATTTCCAATATCAGAATGTATCATGTAAATATCAAACATTTCTTTATCTTTCAGTCATACACTATTGGTTTCATTGTTGCACGTCTTTGTTTGTATTGTCATTACGTTGTGATCTCTCACGTCAATAGGGTATACGGAAGAGACAACATTTTGTCTTGTTGCTACGTTAGCATATGCTTTCAACGATAAGCAATTAAGTCACTAATCGCTTCATAGCAAGCGTCAGTTCATTCAACAAGGTTGAGCTATCTATAGCTTTTAACAAGTAGGTTCGAACAAATCGTCAATACGTAGTAAAGGGTAGCAATACTTGATCGTCAGTTTGTCCATCTTTATTTATAGGAATTTGTTAGTATCCTGACCGTAAGTCAATCTTATAGAACACAATGGATCCTCTAAGCTGATCAAGTAAGTCATCGATACGAGAAAAAGATAACGATTTTTTTTATTGTGACTTTGTTTAATTGACAGTATTTGATACAGAGTCTCATCGATCCATCTTTATTTGCGTATGAATAGAACATGTACTCTCTAAAGGAGGAAACACTAGGTCAGATTATTCCTTGTCAAGCACTCATTATAACTAAGTTTTCAATCTCAAGGAACGACATTCAATATGGAGTTTCAATTTTTGGTCTTTTCTTAGAACATGATTGATAGAGAATTCAATTTCTCGAAATGATGAAATATTAGGAAGTTCATATCAGAGAGGTGACATACTTTCGGTACGTCTTTCAGTACAGAGGTTTAGTTTCACATATCACACGAATAGACTTCACACTTTTAACGGTTGAGACGTTTTTGCATGTATATTCGAGCTGAACTCGATCGATTTAGAAATCAGCTTTTCTTTCATCTCTATAAGGTTACCATCATCGGTCTTCAGTTGAAGAATTTTTCATCACAAGTTGTCAACAGCAACAACGTTCAGTCAGCCAATACATACTAAGGATAATGTCAATTTCCTTGTATGATATTTCAACGGGGTTTTGCACGGCATTGATGACAACTCCCAGAGTCCCGGCAAGCGAAGGGACATGCCCAAGGAGCTGTGACACCCCTTCATCCAGCCAACCACCAAGCTTAAAAACGGAGAACAACGATGAGGAATTTGCCATGATGGTCAAGCAGTTCCGGAAGTTCAAAAAGTTCTTCAAGAAAGCTGACTCAGTCAGAAGGCCATCCAAGGGAAAGCCACAGGTAAGTGACTCCTCTCCTGAATCTTATTTGTGCTATGACTGCAGGAAGCCTTGCCATTGGAAGTCAGCATGCCCGTACCTAAAAGTGGAGAAGTACGGAGAAAGAGAAAGGAACGAGAAGAAGAAGAAGGCAATGATAGCAGCTGAGAGTGACGAGTCATCCAGCTCAAGCTCGGATGAAGAAGCCCTCGTCTGCATGGAGCGCAGAGCTGAGAAGTCCAACCATGAGGATCGGTGGACTATGTCAGAAGATGATACTCTCGGTGGATAAGCTTCTTGAAACGACCAAACATAAGGGTCGTGAAGGACTTAGTTATGACCCCTCCAGTTCCAAAAGAAAAGGGAGAACAACTTTTATCCCTCCCAAACCTACTGCCAAACCCAATAAGCAGAAAGGTAAGGAGAAGGAGAAACCTAAAGAAGTTTCCAAAAAGGTAGTCCCTCCTAAAAATTATAGGAAGCTGGACACACCTAAAAGAGGAAACAATCTCAGAAGAAAACCTTCTAACCCCCACTACACACGAGGCTATACTCATTATGGGGTAGATAGGAGTTTTCCAAGAAATTCTGAGTGGAAAACTATGCCAAGATATAGTCATCCTCCACCCCAGAAACTATTTGTTCCACCTAAGTATGTTTTTAACCATCACAGGCCACACTATGCACAACCTAGACAAAACTATAGGTCTTACCAACCTATATTTACTAGGAGGAAACACGAAATTGCACCACCTGCACGTAGGAAGTTCTATGCCTACAACTATGACTATAATCCCAACAAGTTTAGGGTTGCAAGGAAAATTCCCTGCAACTTCAAACTTGATGTAGGGACACACACCATTAACTATTCCGGGCCCAATCTGAATTGGCTACCAAAATCTTCCTCCTCCTGATGCAGGAAGCCGCTAAGTATCTAGGTTTCTGGTACTTAGACAGTGGCTGTTCAAGACACATGACGGGTGATGCGAGTCTTTTGAGCATTCTAATTCCCTATGATGGTTCAAGAGTTACTTTTGGAGGAAGAAATGATTTTGGTCTTACAAAGGGGCTAGGAAATCTGGTGTACAAGGGTTTAACCATCCAGACTATATCTTATGTGGAAGGTCTCAACTATAACCTTCTTAGCATAAGTCAGTTCTGTGATAAAGGTTATTCTCTAGAATTCTTCAAGGACATGGCATCCCTTAAGAACATCTCCACAAATGAAGTCATTCTCACTGGGAAGAGAATCAGAAACATCTACGAAGTAATGTGGGACGATGTCAAGGCAGCATGCCTAATCAGCAAAGGTGACACTAACCTTCTATGGCTTTGGCATAAGAGGTTGAGTCATCTCAACTTCAAAACCCTCAACAAGCTGTCCAAAGAAGGGTTAGTAGAAGGTCTTCCCAAAGCTGTGTACAAGAAAGAAAGCATTTGTGATGCTTGTCAGAAAGGAAAGCAAGTCAAGTCTACTTTCAAGGGAAAACCGGCTCACTCAACTACAAGGATACTAAGTCTCATTCACATGGACTTATTTGGACCTGTTACACCAATAAGTCTAAGTGGAAAGAAGTATGTCCTGGTAGTAGTTGATGATTATTCAAGATACACGTGGACAATCTTCCTTAACAGCAAGAAGGAAACTCAGGGTAAGCTCACAAACTTCATGAAGCTAATTCAAAATCAAGCAAGTCAGACCATTCAGAAGATCAGATCTGACAAAGGCACAGAATTCCTAAATGAAATCATCATTCATTACTGTGAAGAAAACAGAATTCTTCATCAGAAATCCGCAGCAGGGACACGCCAACAGAATGGTGTAGCTGGAAGAAGGAACAGAACCTTGAAGGAAGCAGTAAGACGATGCTGGCAGAAGCTTTCTTGCCAAAGAGGTTCTGGGCTGAAGCTGTAAACACTGCTTGCTATACTCAAAATAGGAGTATGATTTATAAAAGGCACAACAAAACTCCCTATGAACTGTGGAATGGGAGAAAGCCTAATATATCATATTTCCATATGTTTGGGAGCAAGTGTTTTGTGTTGAACAACGGGAAGAATCATCTGAATACTTTTGACGAGAAATCAGATGAAGCCATCTTCCTTGGATATTCCATGGTGAGCAAAGCATTCAGAGTCTTCAACAAAAGAACCATGATCACTGAAGAGTCAATACATGTTATCTTTGATGAAAAACATGTGGTTGACAAACCATCAAAACATGATCATGAGGTTCTAGATCTCTCAGACAAGGATGAAGAAGTAAATGAAGGAGATAGAATGAAAAGCCTACGGAGTTCATTCCATTCGGAAGTCTACCACTGAATACTTCACAAAGAAATCCGGATAATGCTGAGCCGACCGGAAATCATGGGCAGCCTTCCAATATTCCGGATCACTAAAATGGCGACAATTCCGGAAGTGGCGACTCAGTGCCAATCCATCCGGAAATACCAACAAACTCTGTTCTTCAACCAGAAGCTGAACTAGATCAGCCAGTCAACCCAAATCAACACAATCTTCGTTGGTTAAGGGATCATCCTCCTCAATAAGTCATTCGAGATATTCAATCAGGCGTTCGCACAAGGAATGCTCAACAGAATCTAGAAGCCTTGCTTGCTTGTTTCATTTCACAAGTGGAACCAAAGAGCATTGAAGAAGCTCTAGCTGATTCTGACTGGATCAATGCAATGCAAGAGGAACTCAACCAATTCACCAGAAATGACGTCTGGAAACTTGTTCCTAGACCTACTCATCAACATGTCATTGGGACAAAGTGGGTCTTCCGGAACAAGATGGATGAAAACGGCGTTGTTGTCAGAAACAAAGCCCGGTTGGTTGCCAAAGGTTATTGTCAAGAAGAAGGTATAGATTTTGATGAAACCTTCGCTCCAGTTGCTAGACTTGAAGCTATAAGGGTGTTTCTAGCTTTTGCTGCTCATAAGGACTTCAAGGTCTATCAAATGGATGTCAAAAAGCGCATTTTTCAACGAAAACCTAGAGGAAGAAGTTTATGTGGAACAACCTCCAGGATTTGAGTTACACACAAAAGGCGATCAAGTGTATAGACTCAAAAAGGCGCTATATGGACTCAAACAAGCACCAAGAGCTTGGTATGATACATTGTCTCAATTTCTGATAGACAATGGATTCATCAAACGAGTCATTGACAAGACTTTGTTCAAACTTCAAGATGGAGAATATCTCGTTTTGGTCCAAATCTATGTGGACGACATCATATTTGGCTCAACTAAGGAAGCTCTTTGCACCAAGTTCTCCACCCTCATGCAAGGAAAATTTGAGATGAGCATGATGGGGGAACTCAACTACTTCCTTGGTCTTCAAATCAAATAGAGAAGTGAAGGGACTCTCATAAATCAAGCCAAGTACACAAGGGATCTTATCAAAAAGTTCAAAGTTGATCAGAAGTCATCCGTCTCTATCCCCATGAGTACATCCACCAAGCTTGACATGGATGTAGATGGAAAGGATGTGGATCAAACTCTCTACAGAGGAATAGTTGGATCTCTACTCTACCTTACTGCCAGCCGATCGGATATCTCATATGCAGTAGGTGTTTGTGCTAGATTCCAGTCAAAGCCAAAGGAAAGTCATTTAATTACAGCCAAAAGGATTCTTAGATACCTCAAAGGAACTCAGAATATGGGTTTATGGTATGCTAAGAGCAGCTCATTTGAGTTAGTGGGATACTCAGATTCTGACTTTGCCGGATGCAAAGTTGACTGGAAGAGTACATCTGGCACTTGTCAATTCATTTTCGGAAATCTTGTTTCTTGTTGTGCTCAAATTTTGTGGTTAAAGCAACAACTACTGGATTATGGAGTCAAAACAAAGGAAGTGACAATATTTTGTGACAATCAAAGTGCTATAGCCATCTCACAAAATCCAGTGCATCACTCTCGCACTAAGCACATTGATGTTAAACATCACTTCATCAGAGATCATGTGGAAAAGAAGGATATCAAAATTGAGTACATCTCAACTAAAGAACAACTGGCGGATATCTTCACAAAACCACTAAGTGAAGCCAAGTGCGGTACACGTGGCATGCCACTTACCATGTCTGATAAAGTATTGGGTAGGCACGTGGCCTTGGGAACAGTTGAAAACCCAATCGCCACTAGCCGCATAAATCACCCAAATTAAACCCAATCGCTAGGGGTGGGTTCGGTTTTGGCGATTCGGTTTTTACCCAAAACCAAAGACAAAACGGAAGGTAAGTTGGCAGTTCGGTTCGGTTTGGTTTGGCATAAAAAATATGTAAACGGTTGGTTATTTGGTTCGGTTTTATGCGGTTTTTATCTTGGTTTTTTTCGGTTTTTTTGGTTTATAAAAGTAAATATTTATAAGCATTAAAAATTGTATAAATACTAACTCGATGAAGCAATAACAATACGTAAGTTTGGGTTTGGTTTTTTTGCTAGATTTTTACACACAAAAAAAGCCGAGCGGAAGGTTAGTGTTCTCATTGGTTCAATTTTATATACAAAATATGTGTCAAGTGCCTAACAAATATCTAGAAGATTCCAAGTAATCTTAAAGATATTGTATGTAAAATCAATTGCAGAGAATTTGGATTTTTTTATATAATACTTTTATTTTCATTATAACATCAAAGTTTTTTTTATTTAAATATGTTAACTACTCATTTTAATTTTTAATGTAATATAATTCTATATTAGGATTATTTATTGGTGTTTATATTCTTGGATTTTTTAAAGTTTATAATATGGTTAAAATGTTTAATTAATAGTTAATAAAAAACTTTAATTGATTATTAATTTATTTGCATTTTTGTTTATATGATTTTTATACATATCACATATACTCATATAAATAAAATGAAGCATATAAATAAGTTCGGTTTATTCGGTTCAGTTTTTCAAAGTAAACCAAAACGGAACCAAACAATAATGGTCCGGTTCGGTTTTTTTACATTCGGTTTCAGTTTTTTTGGTTCAGTTTTTTTTCTAGCTCGTTTCGATCGATTTCGGTTCGGTTTTTGGTTTTCCTGACCCAACCCTACCAATCGCCACTATATTCAGATCTCAACTACCCACTCAGCACACTCAAATTTTTGTCATCTTCCTCGAGAGAATTCTCAAGAACCCTAATTTCTTCAGATTGTTTCACCCAAAATTCAGCGAAAATGAAGATTGTTGGAGCTAATATTCATTTCCAGAAATTAGAAGCCAAATGTTCTTCATCGGGGTTCTATCAAACTTATTTGGAGATGATTGCTGCACAGGAACTCTCCGAATTCCTTCATCTGGAAATCGGCTTCAAGTATGAAGAAGAAGTTCTTGAATTCTACAAGAACAGGAAGATCTCAACGATTCAATCCAAGAAGAACCCACAAAGGACGATTCAAGTAATTAAGTCCATTGTTGGAGGCACCAAGGTGAAGATTTCTCAGAAAAAATTGATGAAAAAGCTCCATCTTCCCAATTCTGGAATTGAAATTGGGAGGCTCCCGTCCAAGAATCTGGACTGGAAAACTATTGGGATTTCTGGACAAATCCCCTCTGGCCCAGCAAAGAAGGCGGACTTGAAGAATGACTACAAATTGGTCAAAGAGCTAGTCATTACATGCCTAGAATGTGGCAGTGGAGGACATGCAAATGACATAACTCAAGAAAGGGCATTCATCATCAACGCCCTCATTACCAGAACCAAGGTAAATTGGGCTAAACACTTCTTCAACTCTGTTTCAAAGCATTTAGGGAAGCCCAAGTAGAAATATCTCTGTCAAGGATTGTACCTTGGGTACATTTTGGAATCCTTGGGTATTGCTTCTGACGGCAAGAAGAATGATGCCAGATATTGGCTCTACTATCTGTCTTCTAAAGGAGAAAACAGAGCTAGTTCAACTGCAGAAGATGAAGGCTCTTCAGACAATGTCCTAATTGTAAGTCTGAAGAAGTCCTCAAAGAGGAAGCAAGTGGTGTCTCCCTCCCCCAGCACTGAGGCACCACACAATCTTACAGTGGTTAATTTGGATGATGAAGAAGAAGTTCCTGCCCAGGGAGAACTTTAGAAGAAGAAGAAAAGAAGAATCTCCTCTCCCTCTACATCTGGAAATGTCAATCCGGATGACCTGGTACAGAATGAACCAATTGAGGAAGTCTCTGCACTGGAACAGAGTCCACAACAGTTTGACACTTCTCAAGATCAGAGTCTTCCATCTTCTCCACCACAAGCTCAAACTGATGATGAAGTAAACAAATTCATGCAGCTCTACTATGACTGGAGAGCTTGGAAAGTTGGAAACTCTGCAGATTAGTTGGTTGAATGGGATCAACAACTGAAAAATGAAAGGATTATCAAGAGATGTTTGGGACAGCCAGTCAACTACTTTTGTGAGTAGATTCTTGATGAGGAATGGGTCTCGCAAAAAACCTATGAAGATCTGCATCTGGAATACTTGGCCACCTCTCCAACTTCAGAGTTTGAAGCTGATGATGAGGACCCGACTGTCTACAAACCAATCCTCTCAAAGCCAACTGAAGACCAGACTGCACTCACCACTGAAGCACAGGCTGACATGGAAGCCACAGCTGAAGATTTCCAAGTTTTTATAGAAACCTCACCTGCTTTTGATACTGTCCTGCCTGAAGCTGTTCAGGAGAATGCAGCTACTCCCCAGCAAGAACAGATTCAAACAGCATCTGAAGAAGAGTGATAAGTCGTTTTTGGGTTAGTTCTTTTTATTCTTTTTTAGGCATTTTAAATATTTTTAGTGTTTAATTTTTAGTTCTTTAGTTTAGTTTTATTTTAATTCTCATTGTTACAATCTTTTATTTTTCTTTCATAAATAGTAGTTTTTTAATCATTTTTTACATTCTTTTATTTTTATTTTATTTTTCCTAACCCAAATTATCAGATATCTTATTCTTTTGGAGAAAAGTGTAGCAAAAGGCCAAAACGAAGTTCAAGTTTGGGAAGAAGATATTGAATTTGGGCTAGAGCCCAAACCCATCATCAAATAAACAAGTTAACCAGCCCATTACATCCCTTACTTTCCTGATTCGCACAAGAAAGAGAATGAGGGGAACAACGAAGGGGAATTCACACAGAAAAAATTTCAGAGAGCAGCGGCTTTGCCGCTGCTATGGCAGCGACTGGCGAGTCTGGCCGGCGACGACGGCGGCGGTGGTCAGCAGCTGCTTGAGAGACTAGTGGTGATTCCTTCAAGCTCCAATTCTTCAATTTGTTCATCTTCTACAACAAATTGGTAACCCTATATTTGTCAATTTCTTTTTTTCTTCTCCAATTTCCTTGTAAAAGTTTGTTTTTGATTCAATTTACATTCTTTTACCTTGTTGTGTTTATTTCATAAAATTCCAAAAATGGTTGGTGTTCTTCTTTTAGGTTTTTTTTATGTTTATATTAAATCCCTTATGAATGAGAATTGATTCAAACTAGTTTTCTTCAATTATTGAGCAAGTTGTTGTTGAATTGGTTGAATTGTATAATTTGATTTCATAAGTAGGTGGATATGTGGAATTTGGTTTTTGTTGAAGCTATTTTAGCTCCATAAGATAGTTAAATGAACTCCGAATTCATACGTGAATCTTTTTTGTTATTTGTGTTTGTTGATTTTAAGAGTTTTGGACTTCTTAGCCCCATAAGATGATTCATTTTTCTTAGAATTCGTTATTGAGTGATTGTTATTATCTCGTGTGTTTGTTTGTCATTTTCATTAATTTGAAGTTGTTTAAGCTCAAAAACAATTCTCAATTTATTGAAAATATGTTGTGTTCATCTATGTGAATAGAAAGAACGTCATTGGTTTGAGAAGTTCATGGAAATCTGTGAAATGTGCTCATCATTAGGAGAAAAAGTTTATTAAAATACATAAGGTATTGGCAGTTTGTGAATAGATTATGTATGAGAGTTGAATGCATAATAGATTCTCTCTTTTATAAACTTTTTCTATAGTGGAAGTATGTTTACATGCTTGAATAGAGAGTTGGGGTTCTAAGGTATATTTCAAAACGGGCCTTTGAATTGCATGACTCCGGGCCGTGTGGAGAGTTGACAATCCTCCATATCGTGGTTAAGGAAATGAATCGACTCGGCCTTTAATTGATTTTCCTATTCTTAAGTGCGTAAGTTACGTAATATATTATCCACGTGCCTATTATACGTGTAATGTTCGATTGTGTTTGTTCTCTTTTTTATTCTGTTTTAGCATGTTGAGTTTGTGTTCATGTAGAAATGAGGTTTCTGTGTGCTTGAAAAGGTTGGAGTCAGCAGGTTTGAATATTCTTGAATGCTGAATTTCTGCTCCAATTGATGTTTTTATGAAATTTCAAGCCTATTTTTCATATTACATTCCATTTTGACACTATTTTCTGCATTTTTTGCTGGTTTATGTATCCAATTGATCATATATGTTGCATATGTGCTGCTTTGTTCATTTTCTTCTGGGTACAACATATATGGTTTGATTAGGCAAGATTTGTGTGCTTATCTTGATGCCTTTAATGCTAAATATGCAAGGAAAAATGATTTTACTTGCTGTTTTTTTATAAATCTGCATTACTCTTTCTGTTTTTGTTCCTTAAGAGTGCTACATTGCTAAAATATGAACTATAATTGAAATATCTTGCATGGGGACAATATTTTGAAGCATATCATGAGGTTTCTATGCTGATTTTGATGCCTATTGTGCTGATTTTTGAGCAAAATCTGATCTGTAGTGCTGTATTTTGAAAAAATCAGCAACCTTTTTCATTGATAAGCTGATTTATTTTTAGTCCTTAAGATGCCTATTGCTGAATTATGTACTTTAATTGTTAAATATATGCATAGGAACGGACTTGAAGGGTATTTAGCTTGTCTTTGCAATCTAAATTTGACCCTTATATGCTGAGTTTTGATGTCAAAGTGCAAATGCAGAAAACTTTGTTTCTAAATACTGATTAGAAGATTACAATCTGCACTCTAGTTTTTGCTTGCGAACTATGTAGTATGCCTTTGTAATCTGATTTTTGGGCTTAAATGGTTAATATCTGCATTATTAATGTGCAAAATTCTGATCCAGATCAGTGGCCTCAAGTACCCAATGGTTTCTCTGTTGTAAAATTTCATTTTCCTTAAGGTTTGGGTGTTATAATATGGTGATACTTAAGCTGAAGATTGAGACATGTGCATTGTTTACAGCTGATTTTTGGATACTAATGAAAAGTTTTGCATTTTGAAAAGTTATTTTTGGACTTGTAAGCTGATTTTTTGAGTGCAAAATGCAAATTTAACACTTTTTACAGTTTATAGGTGCTGAAATAGAAAAAAATCTGCAATCTTTTCTTGGTGTTCAATCTGATTTTTGAGTTCATCCGATGCATATGTGCTGAATTATGATGTTTAATAGATGCATATGAGCTGCTTTGCACGTACATGACATAACTAACCTTCTCATATGCAGCATTTTGTTTTGAAAAGTACAAAAAGGCACAAGAATTGGTTTCCAGAACCAAATTTGAAGCTTAAAATCTACATTCTTTAAATCTAATTTTTTTGTTCTTCAACGCTAAAATACTTGGTCTTAGCCATGTTTTTGCAGATTTTGGGTCCACCGAACACCTCAAGGAGAGGAAAGTGATAAATTGACACTGCGTATACTTTTATTTGTTGAATTCCCCAATTCCCTTTTCTCTTTGCTTATTCTCTTGGTTATATCATTATGATTTATTTGCATATCATATAGATGCATTGAGGACTATGCACATTTTTAGTGTGGGGGGAGTCATTCATGATTGTTTCATTGCTTGGAAAAAAAACTTTTGGGGCAAAAAAATTTCAAAATAGGTTTTGGGTCCAAATATTGTTCATTCTTAGTTGCATATCTTCTTATTTAGAGCATTGTTTTTAAATGTTGACCCATAAACCTCATTATTTTTCTTGAGTTTTTTTTCTGAAAGTTGACAAATGTTTCTTTTATATACTCCCCTTGAGTCTTATGCCCTTTTTTTTGGTAAAATGACCTTAATATGTTTGAAATCCTTCTACGAATCCCATAGAATTTTTTTCTAGAACTTGTCATCCACATATTATCTAGATGTTGTTTAATCACTTTGCTTGATATTAAAATTTTGAAAACGAAACCGGTTTTAGGAGTTTTTTTTTATTTTTAAAAATGTAAGTTTTTTTTAATCTTTTAGGCTTTTTTTCAATTTTTGCTACCGTTGCCATTGAACCGTTAGAAGCATAGGATTCCCTTAGGAAACTTTTTTGTGCCAACTTCAGAGCATTTTTTTAGAACCTGAATAATCCATATTTTAGATCTCCATCTTTATAAGATTTGTAGCTCACTTTGTTCTGAAAAATGCTCTAGGCATAAAGCCTTAAGTGTGGGTGTGTAAGGTGCACTTTGTTTTTCTTGACGTTGATAAAAAGTTTGGTTTCTTTTGGTCTTTTGAACGAGGACGTTCAAGTCTTAAGTGTGGGGGTATTTGATAAGTCGTTTTTGGGTTAGTTCTTTTTATTCTTTTTTAGGCATTTTTAATATTTTTAGTGTTTAATTTTTAGTTCATTAGTTTAGTTTTATTTTAATTCTCATTTTTACAATCTTTTATTTTTCTTTCATAAATAGTAGTTTTTTAATCATTTTTTACATTCTTTTATTTTTATTTTATTTTTTCTAACCCAAATTATTAGATATCTTATTCTTTTGGAGAAAAATGTAGCAAAAGGCCAAAACGAAGTTCAAGTTTGGGAAGAAGATATTGAATTTGGGCTAGAGTCCAAACCCATCATCAAATAAACAAGTTAACCAGACCATTGCATCCATTACTTTCCTGATTCGCACAAGAAAGAGAATGAAAAGAGATGTCAGCGGCTCCTTCTTTTGCGACTTCCTCTTCGAACGCAAGAACGGATATACACGCTCCAACGCCTCTCCTTCTTCTTCGCTCCTCACTCAATGCAGCAACGGAAAGAAATTCTCAACAGGAAGAAAGGCTCGGACTATAAATTGGAGCAGCGCAAGACACAAGAAAGGGGGGGAACAACGAAGGGGAATTCACACAGAAAAAAATTCAGAGAGCAGCGGCTTGGCCGCTGCTATGGCGGCGACCGGCGAGTCTGGCCGGCGACAACGACGGCGGTGGTCAGCAGCTGCTTGAGCGACTAGTGGTGATTCCTTCAAGCTCCAATTCTTCAATTTGTTCATCTTCTTCAACAAATTGGTAACCCTATATTTGTCAATTTCTTTTTTTCTTCTCCAATTTCTTTGTAAAAGTTTGTTTTTGATTCAATTTACATTCTTTTCCCTTGTTGTGTTTATTTCATAAAATTCCAAAAATGGTTGGTGTTCTTCTTTTAGGTTTTTTTTATGTTTATATTAAATCCCTTATGAATGAGAATTGATTCAAACTAGTTTTCTTCAATTATTGAGCAAGTTGTTGAATTGGTTGAATTCTATAATTTGATTTCATAAGTAGGTTGATATGTGGAATTCGGTTTTTGTTGAAGCTATTTTAGCTCCATAAGGTAGTTAAATGAACTCCGAATTCATACGTGAATCTTTTTTGTTATTTGTGTTTGTTGATTTTAAGAATTTTGGACTTCTTAGCCCCATAAGATGATTCATTTTTCTTAGAATTCGTTATTGAGTGATTGTTATTTTCTCGTGTGTTTGTTTGTCATTTTCATTAATTTGAAGTTGTTTAAGCTCAAAAACAATTCTCAATTTATTGAAAATATGTTGTGTTCATCTATGTGAATAGAAAAAACGTCATTGGTTTGAGAAGTTTATGGAAATCTGTGAAATGTGCTCATCATTAGGAGAAAAAGTTTATTAAAATACATAAGGTATTGGCAGTTTGTGAATAGATTATGTATGAGAGTTGAATGCATAATAGATTCTCTCTTTTATAAACTTTTTCTATAGTGGAAGTATGTTTTCATGCTCGAATAGAGAGTTGGGGTTCTAAGGTATATTTCAAAACGGGCCATTGAATTGCATGACTCCGGGCCGTGTGGAGAGTTGACAATCCTCCATATCGTGGTTAAGGAAATGAATCGACTCGGCCTTTAATTGATTTTCCTATTCTTAAGTGCGTAAGTTACGTAATATATTGTCTACGTGCCTATTATACGTACAATCTTTCTCCGTGGGATCGACCCTTACTTGCCCTAGCTATAGTTTTTATTTGATTATATCTTGGGGGTTCGCTAAGGATATTTTATAAATTTTTAATTTGTTTTGGACCGCACGACAAGTCCCCAACAAAGAGCTTCTACAATCCTTACCATTTCAGGTTCAAGAGATTCTCTCAAGCCCTTTTGAGATCACCAACTCAACAGAACCTGCAAATCCGGAAAAGTCAACCGAGAATCTGGAAAAGTCACCTCTTCCAGAAACTACAGAGGAAGGAGCTCATGAAGAACAAGCAGTTGAAGTCCATAAAAGCTTTGAAAAAGCTGAAAAAGAAGCTCAAATAGCTAGGCTGGAGGTCTCCGAAACTCCAGTGGCTATCTTTGAGCAGCTAATTAAAGATGAAGATAGAGATTCCCTCTCTAGGGATATCTCAAATTATGAACATGAAGAAACAGAGGAAGAGTCAGTAAAGACCCTGAAGATTGATGAGGAAGAAGCTGAGCAAGGAGAAGATGCTGAATCCCTCCCTCTACAACTCTTCCATGGAATACCTTCATCAAATCAGGTAACAAACTTTCATTTTCACAGCTCTTCCGCATTCACCTTTCCGGATGATATACCAGAAGCCTGGACAAAGAAGGTCCAAGGGTTGATTGAGTTAGCCCTAGAGTCTCAGCATGCCTCTTTTAGGCAAGAAATAGAGCAGATGGAAACAAGGCACAACCAAATGCTGGAGAAGTCTGAAGAAAGGTATTGCTCAAATCTCAAAGAAATAAGCCAGTCTGTAGACAAAACTCTAGAGATCATTTCTCTATTGAGTAAGTCTGTGAGCAATACAATTATGGCTTATGCATCTGACTGTCATCTTCAATTCAAAGAAGCCACTAAAATCAAGCAGCAGATTGCCACAGTCACAATCAATCTTCAGAAGCAGATGTCACTCCTCTAGATGGATATCAGATCAGCCTTGGCAGTGTCATCAGCAAACCAAGTGGTAACTCAAGACTACCTAAGGGTTCTTGCTGAGAATCAGATGGAAGCTTTCAAGCTTTTCAGACATTTTGGAACCTTCACCGCCAAACATAGATTGGATGTGACTGTTCAACCTAAAAATCTACCTCCAATTCCAAGAATTCCACTTGAAATCAAACAAGGAGAACTCTCATACATTCCATCTCATCTGAACATGACGGATCTAATCCTGGAAGCCCAGTAGAAAAATCTGGAGAACTCAATCCAACATCTGTCAAACACTGAGTTTGATGGAACAGAAGCTGTAGGAACCATTGCCTCCCACTTCACAAGTGATGCCTAGACAAAAGAGAGATATAACAACCTCAAGCGCATCCAGGAAGAGTGTGGAGTTATGCAAGGCATTGGTGAAGTTGCCGGTTCATTCAAGCGCAAGAAGAAGTGAAGGCTTTTTTCATCCAAACAGGGGGAAGTATTGAAAACATTATTTATGTTTTGATGAAAACACCTTCTTGTGTAAACATGAGTTTTTGGTTTAAACATTGCTCAATACATCTCTTAGTTATGCTTGAACATATTTCTTTTAAGTATGATTTTTGAGATTTATTATTGAGCGCATACATTCAGGGGGAATGTAATTCAGGGGGAACTTAACTGTTTTTGAGAATTTAACTGTTTTTGGCTAATATTTGTCTTTTGGCAATGAATTACTAATAAACTCTAAGCAATGGAAGACAGATACCTCAATTTTTGTATCAGAGTTGGATATCTCCAATTCAGGTATTTTACATTATCTGCCCTCCTAAACTTAGTTTCAATCCTTAGTTCATTTCCAACTTTGCTCTAAAGTACTGGTCCTTAGGATTTTTATTATGTACAGGACTTTGAAAAATTAGTACCACTTTACTTTTAAAAATGAAATTTATTTCTCTTGGTACTACCTCGTCCTAATTAGAAATTAGAACTATAGGGAATGAAAAATGATAGATTTTATTTTGGGCCTTGAGAACCCAATAGGAATAATTTCCCTTTAGTACATAGATTTTTTTTGGGCCACTCTTTTGGGCTTAGCCAAACCAAAGCAGTTACGTTTTTCAAACCAAATGAAACTAATCTCATTTTGAAACAGTTTCAACACATTGGTAACTGGTAAAAGATTCCTTAAACTTTTCAAAATTCAACTTCTTGGGAGTTGAAACTCTTTTACTCTCACCGTTCCAGCTACCCACTAAATGGAACCCGTGAACCTCCCCTTCTCAACTTCTCCTCCTATTTAAACCAAGCCATTCTAATCCATTCTTATCACTAACAACTCTTTCAACATGAAAAGTCTTCAAATTCACTGTCTGAGAAAAAATCCAAGTAAAATATCCTCAATGAAGAAAATTTTCTTTCTCACCCTCATAGACGGCAATGGAGAAAGCCTGGTGAGAAGAAAAGATGTTCAAGATATTTGGTGGAAATCTCGACAGTGGAGAAGATATTTGGTGGGAATCTCGCATATTTTTGCATCTCGCCACATATCTTCTCCAGAACAACACTCTCTCCATTTTCGTTTCTTCTAATTTTCTTTTAAAAATTTTCTTTTTCCTTTTCTATTTTTTGCTCTTCAAAATTTTATTTTTAATATTTTCTTTCTTTTCTTTTATTTATTTCAAATTGATTTTAGGTCTCCACTTCTCATCCCTTTTCCTCTTTCCCTACCTCTTTTCAAACTATTTTTCAAATTTTCTTTTCACTTGCAGCAATAAGGCAAACCTTTCTTTGTCTTATAGCTGTTAGGAAGACCTCTCTCTCTTCCCTAGCTTGTCTACAATTTTCTTCTGGTTTCCAACTTTTTGGTTTTCTTTCCCCTTCTTCTACTGTTTTTCAAAACATTTTCTTCCCTAGTCACCATTCTTTTTAAATCTATTTTAAAAATTTATTTTTTTTCTCATCTTTAAAAACCCTTTTTTTATCTTCCTTTTCACAATCTTTTCTCTTTTTCAAACACCTTTTCTTGTCCTTCCGTCTTTTTCTTGCCTTTCACCAGCTCCTCCTTTCCCTCTATTTTCTATTTGTTTTTGTTTTTGCTCTTTGGAGAATAGTTGTTGCGTCCAAGATCTCAGTGTCCATTTTGGATGTTGAGATCCATCAAACACAATGCCATCTGAACTTCCAAGCAACATCCGCTGGAAATGAAAGCAGCAAATGGCAGAAATATCACAGATCTCAAGACAAGACTTGGTTTAGGAACTATTGTTAACAAGCTTTATGTTATGAGAAACTAAAAGAAAGTTATAAAATTAGTTCTCAGTACAGCGAGTGGAACTCTTAAACACTTGTTTGTCATCATCAAAAAGGGGGAAATTGTTAAAAAAAATATTATAGATTTTGATGATGATGTATTTAGATTGTAATAGCGACTTTAAGTCACCCCTAATATTCAATGTAATTTTTCTTTTTAGAAATATTGTTAAAACCGAGTTCTTGATATTTCACTCTATGGTTTGATGTCAATCTTTGAAGACTTAACCAAATTCAGTGATATGGAAATTGGATATCTTGATCGGAAATATCAGAGACAAGTAAGGAATTCTCAAAGCAGTTGATTACTTTGAAGATCCTCGAATCCGGAATACTACATGATAACCGGATGTCTCGCTACAACCCGCTGAAGGCTAAGTCATCCAGATTGGAAGACTAGCGCGGATCTCTTTCTCACCTGGAAGTCAATATATGACTTTTCCGGAATTGTCAGCAAAGAACCGGATGCCTCATGAAAGACCAGAATTAAGCTGATTCAAGAACAAATAACTTGAAGTCAAAGTCTGTACTTCTCAAATTAAAGAGCTTGCCCAGAATTCCTAAACAAGCACTAGAAGACAAACTGAGTACTCCACTCAATAAAGAGCTACAGTTCAGAATTCTTGAAAAACAGCTAAAGGACGGATTCTGTGAAAAAGGAATCCTTCTTCAAACAATTGGGTATGAGCAAACACCCATTCCAATGAAGAATCCTCAATAACAATCTTCATTCAAATTGAAGCCAACAAATGCAACGGATAGATTACCCAATCCAACTATATATATATATATATATATATATATATATATATATATATATATATATATATATATATATATATATATATATATATATATAGCATCCATGGAAGACTGGAGGTAGACAATAGACAATAGACAAGAGACAAGAGATATATGAGATAACAAACAAAAATCACAACAACAAGCTACATCTATCTCATCCACAGTTAGCCAAAAAAGCATGATAAAGAGAGATCTCTAAACTCCTTATCCAGAAGCAAATTTCTCCTCCTTCTAAAGAGCTATAGGTTTCCTTGCCTCAAGTACCACACCACGTTGAAGGATACATCTTTTAATCAAATTTCTTGATTAAAAAGGGGGTACATCAACTTTCCTACAAGTTGATCTTGCAAGTCCTATTGTTTGGATCTTGCAGTTGTTGAAGAAGCTTGACCTTCGAAGGAACAACATAGCCAGCACGTGAGCAGTAGCAACATTGGCCTTGCGAAGATATACCGTGTAAAAATTCACACAAGTGTAATTGTTGGTTCATTATTCAACAACCAACTACATAGTGGATTTTGAGGACGTAGAAGGATTACCCCACCTTCAAACCTCGTTAAAGTTTGCGTGTCTCTCTCTCTCTTTTATCTTTACTCATACTTGCAATTATATTAACTGTGAAAATAACCCATCCATATTGAATACTGCTCTCTTAACCCACCAACTTCCGCACACAATCTAAGGTTCACAAGAACTCTAGATTAATACTCATTTTCACGTTTTGAAAAGAAACGAAAAAAAAAGTTTTTAAATCATAACAAAATCTATTCACNCCCCCCCCCCCCCCCTCTAGACTTTGTATCTCACCACTTTGGGACCACCACATGATATAATCGCATATTGTGTCGTACTGAATTAGACATCAGAATGAGATCCTTTAGATAATAGAGTTTATTGATTCTAAACATTCGTGTTTGAATGAGGGATCAGATCGTGTTGAGTCCACATGAGGATCTTCGACACCGGATTCACATATGTTGTTCGAAATATCAACATTAATCGTTTCTTCATGTTCGTCTCATTCCCACGTAGATAAATTTTCACTTTCATCATTCGCGATGTAATAACCATGTTGATATTAGATCAGAGAGTCATACATTTTTGTTTATTCTTTCGTTTTTTATTGAATACGAAAGTTCGATTTGAGTCGACGCTCGATATGATTTACGTACTAAAAATTGTCATCTAATGAGAATTTAACAGAGTCAATGTTTATCAAATAATTTCTCATTACCTTTCCTCGAGTAGAGGGATGCGAGAGTCGTAGATGTGATTGACAATTTTTTTTAAATCAAATTTTGATCCAGAGATCGGTTTTAAAACCATTTGCTTTGATACCAAATTGTAACACTCTAATCCGTCCAGGTCTGGAACCCTTTTCGAAATAAAGTATTAACTTGGTAATCGTAAAAATTTATTTATCGCAACAATATTATTCATAACATAAACAGTACGGAGTTTTCAATATTGCAGAAGCTTAACAAAACATAATCACAAACATAATTTATTTATGTTCTTTAATTCAAAACCATCACATCCATTTCGACAATCTCGCCTCCGCCTGCCACCAAGATCACGTCACATCATTCTTTTCTATTAACCTGCGTGTAGCTAATAAAACTATATCGATCTTAAGAGTGGTTATCTTAAGTGTGAGTTTTAGGTTCTAGATATTTGATTAAGTGTGCAATATCTTAATTGAATTCTAGATTCAAACCCGAAGTTAAGATAAGAGTGTGAAATAAAAAAACACAAAC